AAGGCGTCGGGGCGCAGCAGGGAGGAAGAGCATGCGGTGGATGGCCAAATGGCGCTGCGAGCTGTTGGAGCTGAGCGGAGCGCGGTCGACCGTGCACGCAGCGAACGGATATTTAAGGACTTTACCTACAAATGAAATTGGTTCTCTTTTCATGCACAATATTGTGTCCTTGATCGTGATTACCATAGATAAAAGAGTTATATATGTTTCTTTATTTGTATATTGCGTCTTCTTTCATTTCTTCAGAAAAAGACCGCCTTGGCGAATGTCTTTTTAACCTAATTCTCGAAAGACTGGCATATGTCCTGCTCGGACCGTTTCGACGCACTGCACACGGCTGCAGGCTGTACCGACGCGACACGGTGCATTGTGACGTAGATATGGACAAACGAGCGACGTAAAGGCGGACTTTTTTTTTGTTTTATGCGCAGGTCGTGAAACACGCGCTGCGATAAGGTTGTTACCGAAGTAGCACTCATCATGGCTTACTCTACATTAGCGTCGGAGTCATACTACGCACGCTCGTAATATGAGGGTAATTCCTTTGCGTGACTAATTTATTTGCTAGTATTTTTCTTCGGATGTGTATGCAAAAACGTTAAAATTGCTCTATAATTCATTTTTAACTCTGTAATATCCACGTTGTGAATTGTGTTTTATCTCGTAGTAAAAATTTCATTACAAGAAAGCTATTTTTTGAAAACTAGGTATATTTCATGAGGTTTCTTTAGTAAAATATTTCTTGTATAAAACTCGTATGTTTCAGTTACTACTTACTCTAATGAGTTGGGAGACGATTTTTATGCCGTAAAAAATATTGATATATATTTTTATATTTTTATTAACAGAACAGTACTCATAAAAAACAACTGACACTGTCACTGGTTCAACAGTTTCTACCTTCTGGTATCGTAATTCACTTGAACATCTTAATACGCACAATGAACACAAGCGGCAAACTAAAGATAAACTCATATCATAGTATATCACCATAAACTGGCCTCTAAACCCATTCTTTTGCACTTTTTTATTCACATCTTGAACATTTTGTTTAATTAATAAACTTTAAACACAATAAAAATTCTAAGTTCCGGTGGGATAAAGTTATATTTAATGTTCAGAAGCAAATTAAGGGATCATCTCAACTTGCTTAATGTAGGGAAACAGCAAAAATTGATATGCGTGTGTTAATGATCCAGATGCTGATAAAAATTGTTGTTCTAGGCATATTATCTTTCATTATTAAACAATTCAAAATTTTATTATTGCATTAGTATTATTATGTTACAAAATAATATTATTTTCGTGTTGGACACTAAACACGGTCACTAATTGTTTAAAGGTGATGCAGAAAATATTTGGCTGTCGTTTGACTTGTGTATTGTTATTAATGTTCTGTGAGAAATGTGGTAGTTGGCTATCGATACTGATACCTGACATGATTCTACGTCTCGTATGATGCATGTTATTACGTCTTTAATATGTTGTGTTCAACGAGTTTGAATTGTTTTATTTCGCTGGTCGTCTATGATTCCTACTTTCGTGAGCTATTTAAAAAATGTATTTGCTGATAACGTTAGGGGAAAAACTGATAACGTTAGCGTCAACATAAACAACTTTTGTTCTCCATAATGTAACTGAGAGGTATCAGTGAGCAACATAATGAATGAACGTCGCAAACACATATTATGAGAATATTCAACAGACATCTACTGTCCGTCTTGGAATAGTAAAATATTTCTGTTTAATTATCAGATATTAATCTCCTGATAGGATTTGAAGCTCGAGTGATCAGCCTTCAACTGCCTGAGCATCTGCTGCCGTTCACTACGATTGACGAGACATTGATTTACTCGGTTGATGGAAAGCTTTCGTGACAAACGTCACAAACGATTGTCAAATAAATATTATTTTGTGTTTTATTCACATGACAATCTTTCTACAAAGACTTCCAACACTGTTTTAAAAGTCATATACTAAGGAAACTGTTATATAAATAATTTAGCAACAATAAAAACTACAGTAGATAGATTTTTATTTACCTGGAAGGGAAACTTATTTAACCCCAAAACTCTTTTTATTTTGTTTTTAAGCAGCACATTTTATTTGTAACTCTCTTTTTCCAAAATGTATAGTGAATTTACATTTTATTACTATTTTCTTTTCGAAAAAATACAAACCATAAATCTTCAAATTTCTGTTTGGTAAATAATAGTTATAATGCAAGAATAATAAAGCGCTTATGCAGGCGCGGGTCCATGGGGAGGGAAATGAGAGTCATTTCCCCTCCCAAAACTTTTCAGTAACTAATAGTTTTAACTTGTTACGAGCAAACATATTTTCGTATAAACATTAAAACGAATAAACTTGTATCGTAACTATAGATGACTTCAACCTGCGTCATTCTACATAATCTGTAATATGACACATTCATCGAAAATATTTTGAATAAAAACTTTCCACTCCCAAAATTCGTCTGTAGTTCCGCCCCTAGCTTGTACTTTGTAGACGGTTCCCTTATTATTCTTAAATGAGTTTGTGTCATTTCATATTCATTACTAAGGGCTACAAGATTATAAATAGATATTTTGGGTAATATGCTATGCGAGGTGTCGTGATTCCGAACGACGGGCAACATAGGATTCATGTCTGTACTGCACTAATTGAGATGCAAATTATTCTGATTTCCTGGATTAGTGAATCGGAGGGATTGTTTCGAACGAAGAAGGTAGTCCAATTGCAGCTCTGATATTTCACCCCTCCAAGAAAGAGAAGACATTTTTGTAGAAATACTTGTATCTGGTCGAAATATTAGTCGTTCCGAATCACTCAAAGGATACGTAAAAATACACGAAATAAAAGAAGGATAACAGTGGCCTCACAGTGGCGAAATGTTATAAGCAAACGACAAAATAAGTATTCCTAGTGGTCAATGTTTAAGCGCTCGGTAAAATGAATGTTAATGTTGAATGAATGTTATATCAATAGTGTAACTGCTACCTATGAATGCGTAAATGTAGAATATTAATGTATTTCTATTTTAAATTAGAATTTTGTTTTCATTACTACATAGTTAAATTACATCGTAAAATCAATATTTACATAATTATCACGGTGTGTTTTGATTTAATTTTACTAAAATATAATATTAAAAACAATGAGTAGTGAACTCAGAATGTTATATCTCACCTGTATAATTTACATGTGTATCTAGTTTAAAAAATATAATTAAAATATAGAAATAGTTATCTATTTAGGAGTATTTGTGACAATATGAACAAACACAAAAATGTAGAGTCAACCTTGACATAAACATACTAAGATTGTGTAGAATTTGTCTCTAATATGCAATGCTCATTTTACATTTACTTCTGGTATATCCAATACATTTATTTAAAAACATATAATTGAAGTTTTCAGACATTCATGTTCTACTACATACATGGTTACCTACGTATAGTGAAGCATTGGATATTGCATTTATTTGCATGTAGAGTAAATTACACCCTCTCTTGCACATACAAAACTCGGAAATATAATTTTGAAGCACTCGGAATACCTTGGAAGGGTATAAAAGTAAATAGCCAAACTGAAATTGCATCCACATTAACAATATACGACCATTTCTCTTCGGTTAGGAAGGCTTTTTTATAGCACCTCAAATGAATAAATAGGGAAGGAGGTTAGGTTCTTTTTAGATTCAGTATCTTTGTAGATTCTGAATTTTTTCTGTTTTCTTTGCTTTTGTTGCTTTTACATCCGTTTTTAACGCCTTGAATATGCCTTGTTTCCTTTTTAAGCATTAAATTCTAGCACCAATCAAATTTGAAGGACTCGCCAGGGATTCCTCGTTGGGCCAGAGCCAAGCCGCCTCCGCGGATTATTTTCGTGTTGATGGCCCAAGAGAAAAGCGAGGGTGGGGGCGACACGGCAGTAACGCCGACTTTACGGATCTCAAGATAAGTGCAGGCGAACTCGCGCCGTGAAGTTGGCGGCTGAGCCTCAAGATTAGCGGAGGCGTTGCGTGGTGTGCCAGCACGCTTGCGAAGAAGTCGATGGAAACGATGTCTTGAGGACTCTATAGCGATTCATATTTTAATTACGCAAGCTATATGTTACGCAAGCTCCAAGACGAGTGTGAAAACTGGGGTCTTACTATAAACATCCAAAAAATGGAATGTGTGATAATAGGTGATGAAGGACGTGGAACCTTTGTGGTAGTAAGATCGAACAGTGCAAGACGGTCAAATCCCCTTGTAAATCCCCCTGAAGTAAATCTTTCCTCAAATGGTAGAAGTGTTGACGATGTCTCTAATAAGTTAGGACAAGGATAAAGAGTGAACCGAAAATTAAACCCTCCACATTGAGGCACACAAAAAAGATAAAATGCATTATTTATAGAAAATAGTAGAAAGCATTCATATTTATGGAGCAGAAATGTGGGAAATATGTACAAGAGATATAGGCTGGCTGACGTGTCTTGACAACGACTATTGGAAATGTATCAAAATTATGTCAAATACGGAATGAAGACATCCGACAAGGGATGGATGTGGAAGGATCTATCTTAAGCACGATTCAAGTCAGGTGATTGATTTGGAAAGGGTATCTCTAACAGATGGATCACAAAAGGTGACAAAAGAAAATGTGGTTGTGGACATCTATAACAAAACGAATTTGTGGTAGCTTACCCAGAATCTGAGAGAAATATATAGAATGGGATACTGATGCGAGAGGTATATGGGAAGGAGACTGGGGAAATTGAAAATATTGGAGGTTGAGAAGCGAGAAAAGGTGTCAACCGTATTGCTTTCGCAAAATACATTGACTTGTGTTTAAACGGTTTTCATTCGTCGTTGTGTTCTACAGCCGGAATATTTGGGGATCAGGATCATGTCATAGAGTCGTTGCTAGGAACGTTCTTCTGACATTACGATTTGATTGGCGGAATAGGAATGAATATTACAAGGTGTCTTTATAGGAAATGACAATAAGTAAGTCATATTAAATGATATATACTAGTTTATTAACATACTTCACAGAAGCGAACAGTGATTTTTGCAATTTGTGACCTCACGAAAAGTGTAATGCAGAGTAAGAATTGAGGAGATTTTCGCCGTATTTTGCCGTGGCTTCTGCTGAGTTTAGTAGTCCGTGGTGGTACGGACGTAGACCTTGCCGGAGGGCATGGAGACCTTGTCGACGCCCTTCGGGAAGAGTCTGGGCAGTTCTTCCTCCTTCACTGATGGCAGAATCATCACCTTCTCACCGGGCTGAAAAAAGGAAAAGAGGTAGCTGTTCAATCATCGTGTTGCTGCGAGAATCGCATTTAGAGGAGTGTATGTTCATGGTTTTTGACTTGAAAATTGTCATAGTCATCTTTAGATATTTGTTCATTTTTGAACAATCATTTGTGGATAACGAAGTGGTTTTTATATTATCTGTGATTTATTTTGTTTATTCAAAAATATTATTTGTTCAAGAAAGTGAATGTGTGAAAGAAAGAGCACTCCTCTATCAGAAAGCGATTGTCAGAATTGCAGTATTTCTGGATTTGAATGCGAGAAAGTATCCCGACCTCTCAGAGAAAAGTCCAAACGTTATCCGATCTCTTCGTAGATCGTTCCTACTCGAAGCAACAAGCGAGCAACAAGCCGGCGAGCGACGTGTCGGGCTGAACCGTGAGTGCGTGGTACATATCCGGCATTGGAAGCCATCGCAATGCCGGAGGCGGCGAGCGTGCGCCGGGGCAGGCGGCGGAAGCA